ATGGAAAGTCTTTTGACCGTTTTATACAAATTTTTGAAAACCTGTGCGATAATTGTTCCTACAGAAGCGATGACTCCTTACTATTTTGTAAGAGAAATTTTAGCTCCTTGAGAAATTGATTATCTCAAAAGTTTAGTCTCATCTCACTTATTTTAACTAAGATTTTGGGCAAAGTTCAATTATTGAAATTTTTTGTGCTGCATCAGTATAGCAAGTTCATTCAATATCAAGCACGTACCTCCTCCAGCTTTAGCTGGGCCCTTAGTTGGTTTTATCGAGACATACGAAAATTTTGGTTCTTCTAGTTTTTTTTGCAACATTTAAATTTTTTTTATTTCGATTTATGTTTTTTTTTGTCTGAGTTGTATCTCAAGTGGTGCGAAGCTCCGCCTCGCTTCTGTGTTGATGCCTAATCATCCCCTTTCTGGCCATTTTTATGCCTCGAATCAGTAAAGACGTAAGTATAGTCAGTTTTATTTGTCTTATTTGCAGCAAAGATCTTTCGCTGCTTTGGGAGGTGCCACTACTCGCAGTCACCAGCGGGAGGAGCACAACAAGAAGATCAGACTGGCGGAGGAGGAGAAGACGAGGGAGGGCAGAGAGAAGTTCAGACTCACCCAAGTGGCAGTCACCAATGACGCTTCTTTCGAGATGAGCATCCAACAACAGAACTCGGAGCAGGACAATCCCGAACAAGGTACGGTTACATAATCACAAAGGATTCACACAGAGGGGAAACAACAAGACTTTTTTCAAACTTTCAAGTTGTCATGCTTTGCTCGAGTCATGCTCAAGAGCGTTTTTTAAACATGCTGAGATACTGGAATTTTTCTAAATAAAATTCAATTGCTTTTCATACTGGCGATTTTCGAAACTTGGTTTAAAAAATGGAATTTTTCTTCGCTGATGTGTATATTGAGATCAACTCACGTAATCATGGCTCAATATGGTTTCAAAGTGAAAAGAAATTGGAAAAATGAAATATCCCGGTTTTTAAAAAATTGTTGATTTCCTAATTATTGTTTCATTATCGCAACTTTATCTTTTTTACTTTGACATATTCGATTAACTTTGCAAAATCTGTTAGATATTGAATTTTTTCGTTAATACTAACTCCGACTGTTAGTGATTTAATTTGGTTTAAATGAGATTGTATGCTATCCCAGAGTCTCTTATATCTTAAATCATGATTGGTATCGACAAAAGCCTCAAACATTGATATTATTGTTTTTGATTGACTACAACAAGCGTTTCGGTTGCTGAATATTTTAAATTTTGTTTTCAAATTTTGTCAAACCTTTTTTTTGCAGGCCGACCAAATTGATTTTCCGAGCTGTCACAAATCACTATAAGGCCATATTTTGACCAAATTTTTTGCGCCGCAGGCAAAATTTTGAAAAAACAGGCGCTTAAATTATGCTTAATAAGCTATTGCAATTACAAGCTACCTTACGAATTAGCTCGAAGTTACCCCAAAAATAAAACATTTCGTTATATAGTTTCTTTTACCCCTGCGATCAGCAAGAGTATTATTGCAATCGGGCACAAGACTTTTTTCCTTAAATAATTTAATTCACCAACTGGTCAAAGTTATACTTGGTCTCCGACACACTTGTTCTTAACGAATACGCCTGAGACGGCAAAAGTTTTGGGTTTGAATCTGACAGGACCTGATGGTTTTTTAAACGGGAAATATTCCCTTTCAAAAATGTCGGCTTATTATTTGAATAGAATAACACAAACGCATTGTTATGTCAGCTGAACTTTATGTCCAATTTTTAAAAATCATTGATGATTCCCATAAGCTAAAATATGATTATTGACAGCAACGATTAATAGCAGATTCGAAAAGCAAAGCGATGGCTGGAAAGTTTGGAAAAGTTCCTCAAAGCTCATCGAATCTAATTATCGAAATTGAAACCAAAATACATTTTCTTCTGAAATGTTTAACCTTATTGTTTGATTTGCACGGCGGCGTTATTCGTAGCAGCTGAAATTTATAACCAAGATAATTTTTGCGATGAAAAAAGTGTGCTATTTACTGTAACCGTACTAATTTACAAATAATCCTTTTGTTTGACTGTTTGACCTGTTTTTCAAGTTTTAAATTTGACTCATCCGATCTTATTTTAGGGGTGATATATCACTGAGATCTTCCTATCCTTGCGCGTTTATCTTAACCTAAAGTGTAGTGAGAAGTGAGAAAAATCAAATGAAGATTGATAATATTTGAGAAAATGTTCTATGATGCCCAATTTTGGTGGTTGCTTTTGAAAGACCTAGACTCCCCCATATGTGCTGTGGGTGGGATGAGCACTCTCAACCACCGCGTAGTGGCCAACACGCAAAGTGCTCAGTTGCCGACTACCCCGACCACAGCAGCCGCCCAGTTGGCCACGGCTGCAATAAACTACCTCCAGACCTCAACGGGGAGGTAGGGGTGCTCGGAACATTCGCTTCACGGAAAATTCGGACATCAGTTAATGAATTAACCTACCCACTCTCAAACCGAGTGTATCAGTTTCTAGCACGACCTAAAAAAGTCAGATAGCTCGTCTGATTCAATGGTGGCAATATTCACACATACTAGTGCAACCAGCGTGTACTTGTTGTTCGTACTGGTGGTTTTTTTTTACAAATACGAGAATAGTTGTCCGAGTTTATCGTGAACTGAACTTCCGACCCCTGAACCAGGTCTTCCTCCCTCGCATCTGCAAATTCCAACATGATGCAACTTCCGGTCGCCAAGCGTAGCAGCAGCCTCTGGAGCTCCAGGTCCATGACGATGCCAGATTTTTCCAACATGCCGGTCCAAAATCTCGCTCTGACCCCAATGGCGATGACAGCTCCTTTGCTCCAGGGTAGAGATCTCAATGTGTATAAAAAATGAAATGGTGGAACTATATTTACTTAAATGGCTGCTTTCTTATTTCTTACCCACGCTGCTTCTTTGTGTAGTTCACACGGGACTTATGCCTTTGAATTTGCACTAGGCCGCTACTATCAACTTCTTGTGTAACCTATCATGACATAACTTTTAGTTCAAACTTCGAACAAATTTATCGTTTTTTTTTATTTTATTTGTCATAGTTGTTGTTGTTGTTGTTGTTGTTGTTGTTGTTGTTGTTGTTGTTGTTGTTGTTGCTGTTGTCATCCTTTGGTTTTGGGAATCTAAAGCATGTTTTCCCCCACCTGTAAAAGTTTAAATATAATCTTTTAAGCGGTTAGCAAGTGTTGTATACTCACTGATTCTAGCGTCGCTTTCAGCATAATATGTTCAACCATTTTCTTATGGAACCAATAAACTGTATATGGTTGGTAGTTACCTGATTTGAAAGAAATATATTAGTTTTCAATTAGTGCAACGAAATGTTTTTTTTTGTCTTTTATGCTCCCGTCAATTTTTTTAATTAGACATTTTAACCAACAATTTTTGGCAGGTTTTTTTGGTGCCCTAAGAGCCCGGGATGACCAAAATGGCTACTCATACAATTTGCATGCATGGAAGAAATTAACCATACAGTTTATTTTTTTTCTTTTTCACCATTTTTGGTCGTATTCGTAAATAAACACAATTGAGAAACGCTCTGGTTATTGAAGACCCTATTGATGATCCCACACCTATTGTGCCTTGGATATTTGTAGCTAATTTTAGGGTGATGTTTTGCAAAACTAATCATTTGGATCAAATTTCCTTGCCTAGGACATTTAAAAAATACCTATAGAAATTATTTTGAGTGCTTTTAAAATTGTGTTGATTTTTAAGTTTTCAAGACTAAGTTATGCACATCAAAAAACTAAATTTGTATGCAAAGAAAATTTCCAAGAAAATGTTTGATTGAATTTTAAAACTGTTCTGCGCTTCAAAAATCATGATGAAAAATTTTTAGGCAATTTTGAAGATTTACTTTTGTGTCACCAGAAAAAATGACTAGTGACACAGTTTCCGTATATGAAAAGGTAAATGATTAGCATTTTCAATATTATATGTTTTTCCTTTTTTTGACCTTACCCCAGTTTTCATGCCAAAAAACATAAAAACAGAGATTTTTTTTTATTACTATGATTTTGAAACGTTTTATGAAATTTGTAAAGGTAGCATTTTTCATAGTTTAGCTTTATAGAATTCCATGATTAGGATTTATAGTCAATGGTGGTCAGCCCGGATGGAAATGTCGCTTAGCTTAAATGTAGTTTTCTCCCCGCGGTAAAACTACGATTGCAAAAGTTCAAAGGACTCTGCTTAACATCAAAACTGTTGACAGTATACAACTCTATTCAATGATTTTAGCTCACCGTAGCACTAACGGCAAAATTTTTTCAGAATTGAAACTTATACTAGTATTTGCGATTATAAAAATCTTTTAAGTTATTTTTTTGAACCAAAATCGCTTAAACAATCAAGATCAATCCTGGGTAGCATAAATCATCTAGCAAAATTTATACCCAACGCGGCAAGCTTAACGGAAAAGCTGAGGCCACTCCTTAAAGAGTAGAACCAAAAGAAAAAGTTGAAAAACGTGAAACTACCAGTAAAGAAGTTCGAATGGGGGGATGAACACATTGTGGTGTTAGATGCCATAAAAAACGCAGTAGCGAACATTTCAAAAGTAAACTACTACGATGCTAACCGGGATACAAGAGTTAAATGTGACGCAAGCCACAATGGCTTGGGGGCTACTTTAGAACAACAAACAGATGAAGGTTTGTGGGTTCCGATCTCCTTCGCATCCAGGTACCTAAATTCACAAGAAAAAAATACTCAACAAATGAATTGGAGTTATTGGCGGTTGTTTGGGTAGTAGACAGATACAATCATTACCTATTAGGTAAAACATTTACCATCGCAACAGATCACAAAGCATTCACATCGGCTCTAGATTGTAACAAGTCTAATAAGGCCTATCAATCCCGATTGACCCGGTGGGTCGATCGATTGTTGCCATATCAATTTAAAATTGTTCACATTCCGGGGGGGGGGGGGCACATAGGGATAGTCGATTAATTGTCGCGTGATCCTTATAATGATCCTTGGCCCGAATTGGAATCAGATGAAAGATTTGTAGTGGCAACAATAAACTCTTTTCATGAAGTGTTATACTGCATGAGCAGTAGGCTAGAAAGCATTGGGTCGCTCAACCGGAACGAACACGTTCTAGAATATTCTAGAAGGAGTGTTGCAAAGCAGTCATCGCTCAGTGGTTGCTATGGCAACCAAAACGGTCAAAAGCGAACAAAGCTCGACCGAAACGAGAGAAAACAACTTTTGCGACCGTCAGAACAGCTAAACAGCAGTTTTCAAGAGAAACCGATCACTTTTTTGTCACTTCAACTCAGCAAACAGTCGTATCCGAAAACTGCGAAAACAATTCAATCAGTCAATAAAATTCAGAAAAAAACAGACTCGAATGAGGAGATGTCAGAAAAATTCAATCGCTCATACGACTGGTGGTCAGATACACCACAGGATTGGCGAAATGACGAAAGAGAGGAGAGCATTCTGGACTCGAAGTGGAATCGCTCTCTATCAAACACAAACGAATTCTCCGAAGAGGAGGAAGTTACGGAGACACTGCAACGCACAAGGAAAATAGTTCGCGGAGGCAGGAAAAACAGAGACAGTTCGGACAGTTAAACAAAAATTCAATCAAGAGTTAAAAGGCAACTTCAATCGGAGCAACAGAAAGAGGCAGACAACACACTACTTTCGTTCTGGCAATTGATTGGGGGAGAAGCAAACACTCCGGCAAACATAAACTGGGAGTTAGTCGCAACGTCGGAGGAAACTGATAAAGTTCCAGAGGAAACCACTCAAGGACCGATCAGCATCACACCAGCTACTTCGAACGAAAGGAAATTGATCGATGTCAAACTAATTGAGGTGGATCTTACTACAGAGGACATCGAAAGTGACCAAGAGGTGTGTGCAATAGAACCACTCAAAACACTCAGCAAAGAGAAATTGCAAAAGCAGCAGACGGAGGAGTCATTGGACAATCTATCGAAGTTGTTTGATAAAAGTCTCCTGGCAGAACTGACGACCGAAGACGAGTGGACGGATGGACGGACCGACTCAGACGAGTCATAGAGAGAGGAGACAAACAGGGTTTCGAGCTGATGGGACCGTACACGAACCCATTGTGGTCGCAGATGGCGGTGCAAGACGATTGCATTCTGGTGAACAACCGACTGGCAGTACCCCTACAACTGAGACAAGCTGTGCTCAAAAGGATTCACCGGGGACATCCGGGTCAAAAAGCTATGCTAGGAGTGTCACAATACTTGTGGTGAACCTAGCGGAAGAGTGTCGTAGTTGCACCAGATATGGTAAGAACGTAAAATAGCTTATTCCAAAAAATGCGTCAAAACCACTGCCACTGCTCACGCAGCCGGGACAGGAAGTACAATTAGATTACGCGGGACCGTTAGAAAACCACCGAGGAAAAAAGATCTACCTTCTAGCAGCTAAAGATAGATTCTCGAAATTCCCGTCGGTGAAGATTACTAAATCAACAAGTGGAAAGTGTACGGTAAAATTCTTGAGATCCTATATAGACACACACGGCATTCCGGAATCAATTTGATCCGACCAATTTTCAGGACTTAAGGGGAAAACACTAGAAAATCTTTGCACTGAACTCAATATCGAACAAAAATTCTGTCTGGCGGGGGACCATCGAGGTTGCGGTCTAGTAGAGCGAACAATACAAAGCATAACAAGAAGATTAGGGGTCATGTTGCTAGAAGAAAACAATAGATCGATCAAACTATGTCTTAGTACCATAATGCAGTGGAACAAGCAGAAAACTATTCAAGTATCTCTTTTTTCAGGCACATTTTGGCAGACTACCAAAAAACAAATTTAAAAGCTTACGGGATAAGTTTTTAAACAATTCTGACTATTTAGACAAACAACACTTGGAACGATTGGCATTAACGGCATCACAACTAAAACGAAGAATTGACCAATCCCGGGAGACTTTAAAGATAGTCAGAAAGGGGGAACTCAGCAGGGACTCCAGTCCGCTGCACAAGCAGCGAGTACATTCAGACAGGTATCGTCAGAGAGCAAAAGCTCTCAAAGAATTGCTGGAGGCGAACGCCCGTTGGAATCAGGAAAGGAGAGATGCTGCGAAAAACGACATACGGCGGATTGTCGACGAAACAGGCTTATTGAACCCAGAACTACGGAAGGAGATGATATACTTCTGGAAAAGGGGTTCATAGAAGATAAGGAAAAGGAAAACACGCATTCTCCACAGAAAACGATTCTGCGTAAGGATCACTTACGCAAGAGCGGACAAGCGCTGACGAAACCACTGAAGGAGAAAATAGCGGCAAAAACTGATTCGATGGTTAAGACGTCAACAGGATCTATTTACAGGAAATCAGACATCGCTCAAGCGAAAACGTTCCTATCACAAGAGAAAACGCGGAGCGAGAGCACGGCAGAACCAGATAAGAAATTCCAAAGAATCAGTTCCCCTGAAATTCTAGAGGATATTGAGTCGGATGAAGAATTACGACGGGCCGTGGGAATTATCGATTTTGTGAACCCGGTGGATCGGTTTCAACAAAGCCAGACAGTCATAACCTCAAAGGACACGGAAGCTGGAGGGGGTCTAAATCTAGCCATCAAAAGAGCGAAGCCGGATACAGCGGGTCCTAGTTCGATACCTGGACCAAAAACTCAGGAAGAGATCGCTCTAAAGAAGTGCGAAAAGAAGACGAAGGGAAAGAAACCAGACTACAAACCGGGAAAACTGCTAAAACAAACTGCTATCGCAGTTGACCAGGGCAACGAACAATCAACGTCAACTTTAGATACCTCGAACAAAGACGTTCACGCGAGCTCCTCCCCGAAAACCAAACAAAAGGCAAAACTTTAAACAATCGATTCACAAACACGTCCGGAGGATATCCTGGACACGTTTCAAAACCGGAATTTGGCACCGGCGGAGTGGGAGAATATTGCAGACCAACTTCTAAAAAGGGGGGTCCAAAAAGTCGCGTACGACCTCAGAGGGAATGTGCAGCCAGCATCCGAAAGGGACACAATATTTGAGCCTCCTCAGGGGGTTTCTGATGACTCTAGCGCCGAAGAATCAGGAGTAAGACGAAGTTCTAGACAAACTAAGAATAAAGATCCAAAGCGATTTGGAGACCCAGTCAAAAATTCCATCAAGGAAGTATCGGAGGAGTTGTCAGGGGGAGCACTTCTCAAGCTGCACTCTAGGAATACCGGAAGAGACTAACAGACTTCCAAGAACGAAGTGACAGGCCCGTAGAGTCCAAATTACGTATACTAGAAAGACAATTATTCCGGAGAATATTCGGCTATGCAACGCTGGACAAAGGAACGGATTGGAATCCTTGCTGGAGAATCAAGCTCGAAGAAAACTAAGAATTGAAAATACAATCTACTAATCTTCCAAATTCAGAAACTATCTGTGAACTGAGTGTATTAAACTCTTTTCAACAGAAATTATTTCATATATTGAAAATTTTAATTTCTTCTTGAGGGGGTATGTCATACTGCTACTGCAATAGCAGTGTTTGCATGATGTAATACTGACCTTCAGTGGTATCAGTTATTATTATGATGATGTGTCCAAAGTCATGTGTGCAGTGACATTGACACACAGCTATGAACTCAGAGTTTTGATTCTGCAGTATCACTCTCAGTGACTAACTTTAGAAAAAGAAAAGAAAACTTAATTCAAGTAAACCAGAATACATTCTTAAATTATCATTAGTTTTTCACCCGATACCGCATAGGATATCACAAAGTGATCTGTTTAGACAATACAATTGATTTTAAATTGATTGTTTGCAGATTATTCAAAGGTTATCTACAGATATCCACCGATTAGATCCAATTTTTTTCACAGCTTTTGCTCACTAAAATTGGAACAATTAAGCGCTAAATTTTGTTTAAATATAATAAAAAACGAATCCGTTTTTTTTTGTATATAATTGATTAGCGCACGCAAATTGGCTGTGATGAAAAATTGATCTATACTCAACAAAATGTTTCGACTTTCGAAGAAACTTAGTAATATATACTTGATAGGTTTTTATTTTGATTTAATGCAATTTACTACTTTACTTACTGAGCTTGGAGCCTGTGTAATTCGCTTCTTAAAAATTTTGGAGACTTTCTTCATCATAATGAAAAAGTAACCCTTACTAAAGAATTATTATCTCACCCACGAAATTGTTCAAAATTGAAGACAGGTTAGTAATTGATCATCTTCTTTTCATACGCTTTACGACACAAATTTCAATGAACGATTTTACACTGACTCTCCAAAAATGATAACTTATTTAAGCTTTCTGTAGAAAAAATTATTTGGTGCCTTTTAAAGAGCAGTCAGAAAATTCATAGCTTCTTTCTGTTATATGAGCAGTGTTGTAAATGTACTAAAATCCTTTGAAGTTAATTTTTGATCTATTTTTATTACTGCAGCTGGTCGTAGAATTAATAGAAATGAACCATATTTTGAAATATCAAAAACTACTTCTGACATTTGGCCATTTTTCAGGATTTTCGGAACATTCAGACTTGGTTTTGATACGAGAAGTTTTGTTTGAACTTTATATAAAAATTAACTAATTAGTGTTTTTAACCCGACCATTTGAAACATATGGAGGAACTTTGTTTCGGGTGTTTTAGTTTTGTTTCTTTCTTTATGTTTTCCACGCAAAATCAGGTATCACAAATAATCATCGGAATGGGTCGGAATTCCCAACTTTTCGTTCTTGGAGTTTTAAGTTTTGTTTTCTTCTTTTAGCGATCAATCACCTTGAAAGTTATCACCTGTATATTATGTTTAGCTTCAATTCACATTTCTTAGTTTATATTTCACTTCGTACCAATTCAACTAACAGCACTTTTTCTCGCTACTATAATTTATTTGGAGGTAGTATGAAATGTGACTCTTTCTAATTCTCTCACATGTGATTTTTTGCTTGCATATGGTCTGATTGTAATGAAATTTGATATTGTTGCTGAAGATTTAATATTAAGCAAATCTATTCCCCTCCTTGGCCAGTGCTGTACAATTTGTGATTGCGGTATCAAAGAAGGTTTGTTTGTGGTGATGGAAAAATTTAGTCTAAAGCGCTTTATGAAAACCGACCCAAAGCTTTGGATTTCATATTTCGTTCAAAAATAGTTTTCCTTCTTAAGCTCTTTGTTGGTGGATATGCTGGCTTTATACCGCACTTCTAACCGGGTTCCCCTCTTTTGTTCACATCTGTTGTTGCAATTAAATTTCATTTAAGAATATAGCATTATGTAACAATATAACAAGCTCTGTTTTACAGCTGAAAATGAACAAGCCGCTGCCAACCCCGACAACGCTTCGAACAATGCTCAAAATATGAACTTGGTAGCAGGGGGAGCGAGTGTTGCCATGACAACTACCGCTGCCAACAATGCAGGTGGGGGTGGCGGTGGCGGCACTTCGAATGCCGTGCACCATGGAGTGACGGCAACTATGTCTTCTTCCAGTAACTCAGGAGTGGGTGGAGGGGGTCCACTGATTCACTCGGTGCCTCTCTTTCCCTCTGCCGTTTGTGCGGCTGTTCCTGATATAATTGCACTCACTGACGACAAGGAAGTCTCCTCTGTTGACGGAATTTCTGGTATGAAACTTAAAAAAATTTGAAACAGTTATTTTATATCTTTATTCCACCGAACAAAAGTTTACTAAAAACGCGAACCGATATCGACTCTATGATAACGAGGAGGAAATCAAAATAGTACGAGTCGAACAAACGCAGATTAAAACATCGAAAATTTTTAAAAAAATCCGAAACAAAACCATATCAGAGAGAAGAATATCCCGCCAAGCACATGGATAGCTTGTTGCTGCGCAAATAGCACAGAACGATCCGTTCACACTGGTTTAGGGGAAAAAACTCCAAAATAAAAAATGAAAAAACAAACAAACTTTTTGAAATAGTTTTTTTTTTTTTTCATTTTTATTATCATTTTTTCAAGTTCATATGACTTATTTTTTGAGAAAAATCTATCGAATAGCTTAAAATAAAATAATTATGAGTAGTAAAAATAGCTAAAATAACATTAAAAACAAAAACAGAATTTAAATCACAGATCAGCCTTGATTTAGAAATGTTTACTTTAGAACCGTCAACAAGGAAATTATACAGACCAATTTTTCTAGGCACCGAGGGAACTTTTTAAAAAAAAAATTTCCAATCGCAGCCAGGAGGGCTTTTACATGATATTAAATTTGACCCCGTACGAGTTAAGCTTGCGATATTCAAACTTGACTCAAAACCACGACCAGAACCCAAGTTTCCTTCCCACTTTTTTAATCACTGGAATCTTGTTTAAAAATCACCGGAACTTAATTAAAAAGTCAATTAATAGCTTGATTCGTAATAAATTCGAACTTGTCGGCATCGCTGATACACTTATTTCAGTAGTAACGACCACGCCTGGCACGGCAAAAGCCCTAGGTTTGGTTGGATCTTGCCAGGAACTGTTTTTTACTTTGTGCCAAAGCTTCCCTTTTAAGAAGAAAAATTGTCGATAGCTTGTCTGTCTAAATTTTTCCGGTTTTTCTTGTACTGAAAACATTTGGATCTACTAAACAATCTCCACCCCCTATTGTATCTACTAAAGAATCTCCACCCCTGTAAATAAAAACAGTAAATTCGCACTAGAGCGTTGTATGTAAATTCGAGTTTTGCTGCATTCTGATTGGTCGAAAACTCGCTGCAAGTAATCTACTTAACAATATTTCTTGAATTTAGTGACGTTTGCTTTAATTCCTGTTTGCTAACTTGCGATACGAGTTTTGTGGAGTGTAGCAAATGGTAATTGCTCAAAATTGTTTTTTCGTTTCGAGGTTGTTTTGCTTTTTGGGACAATGACTGATTATCGCTGCAATTCAGTTTGAATCAATGAGAGAACGTAACAGCCGGACTGAAAATAGGCATATATCGTTAAATTAATTTTTAAATTTCAAATAACCTCTTTTCTCTTTCATCATATCCTTGTTTTAATTAATTGTAGTTCCTGCGAATTGCAGAGGAGCTATCAGTAGGCCTTAACAGTCCTATCGAGGATAGTCCATTTGTATTATCTCCCCACATTCCAGACAGTGTTATTTTGCTGAGCGAAGCTCTTTTTTGCGACTCAAGGCCGTTTTTTTTTGCGTCTAGAACTTTTACGTGGTACCACTATTGCAGCCAAATTTGGTTAGGTTGTGGTAGACCTGAAGCTGGAGGTCAAGTGAGAGCTTGTCCTCGCACACTATCATTGCCATGGCATGGGATCGAAAACACGATCTGACGATTTCAAAGTGAACGCCTTACCACTGTGCTAAGTTCCTCCTAGCATTGAAATTTAATCGCAGTATTATTGTTCCTCAATCATCCAAGTCTTAAGTTACTTCGTTCTGACCAACCGCCAAACGGTTTTTTGAAAGGGTGACCAGAACTCTCAATCTCAAACGATCCTAGAAAATATTGTGCCTTGAACCGGTTTTGTTTTTGGATTTAACTGCTCGCAAACAGCAATCAATACGAATAATGGGAGATGAAACTATGTTTCTCATTACTACCGCAGATAAATATATACGGCAACTTGAAAGGTATCACATTGAAGTCCTATTGGTCATAATTTAGATTCCAAAAAACCTCAAAAACGAAATTGCTTCCATTTCGAGATAAATTGGGCTGAATGTTTTCGACGTTCAGACTAAATAAGACGATATTTGCTGAGAGGTTAAGTGACATTCTGAATTTAGTTCTACCATACTTTTATGATTATCTTACTCATTAATTTAGCCATTAATAATTATCATTCTTGTTGTTTTCTTTTTTATGTCAGTCACTATAAAAGCAAAGTAGATGAGAGAAAAAAATATTGAACCAAAAATTGAGATTTTAGGAAATTTGTTTTTCTTTCCGAATGTTTTAATCAAATTTTTCTGGTCGGAATATTCTGTGCTACTTATACAGCAACTGTCTGTCCTTTTTACATATAAGTGTCAGTGAACATAGCGAAGACATTTATATAGATCGAGTTGAGTTGGAAAAGCCTTAAAATTTTTTAACGTCAAAATCGCTCTTTTGCCATTTGAGTTTTTATTTTTCTTTAAAATTCAATTCAGTATAGTTGCTTACAGGATGGGAAATAGTGCTTTTCAGTTACGAATACGGGATGGTGCAAAAAACGTGAATTAATTCACTAGCTTCGATACTTGGTATTAAAACACTAGTTTTTAAAGTGGATTTTTACTTTAAGGTTTTTCAGTGGAAAATTTTAAGTTTCTTAAACTTTTATTCAGTTTTCTCGAGTCGCAAGAATTTTTCCCCAAAATTGTCAATCGTAAAGTGTTATTGAAATTCAAAGAGCTCGGACGCCATATCATTTTTTTGTATCAAATTCGAAAGTTGAAATTTTCAAAAAGTGCGTTCATTTATTTTTTTTTCCGGTTTTTTGCGTTTATATTGACATTTTTCCAACTGTCAGTTGGCTTTCTTTAGCTCTATTAGATAACTAGCTATTACATCCACCTTTATTTTTGTTTCAAATTGAAGGTCCTAGAAAGTAAGGTTGAGCGGATATTTTCAACCCACTTAATCGACTCCTAATTAAACTATATGGCTTTGTGTTTGCAGTGCGTGAGGTGGCACTTGGTCTGATCAAGACATGTCTGATAGAAGACACCTCTTTGTTTCTGCGCTACTTCCTGGAGAGACTCACTGTGGTGGACAAACACGCATCCCTGCTGGCCCAAATAAGAAAACTCACCCTCGCTCTCCCCGAGATATCCCCTCAGGCAGCCCATTCTCTCTTCAACTACCTGGTGAGAGAAAGTCTTTTTATCAACAAAAGTTCTAAAAAATCACCAAAAGAAATTCTAAAAGTTCTTGAATATCGTTAAATTGTGTACATCGTTCAGATATGTAACATCTATATGCAAAACATAACAAACAAAAATTGATTGATGTATCTGTTAACAAAAAGAGGTTTGATTAAGAATCTTCGGCCATTTATAAGGGTTTTCGATGAGACAGAAAAGTATTTAGGAGCGTTAATGAGCTAATTTAAATTTTGAGCCTTACTGAGCTGATTTAAAATTTACTTCGTTTGGCTTATCTTTACCGCATAAGGACACCTTATAATGAGTTTGCGCTCGACAAACTTTCATTCAGCAATATGAAATCAGTTTTGTTTTCATTTTGAAATGAAGTATCAAAAGCTATTTTGTGTTTAGACTGGCCTGATAATGTACTTCATTCGGAACCCCTCGCCGTACAGTCAGCAGGCCACAGCCACCACCCTCTCTGTGCTGTGGATGATAGTGAGGAGTGTGAGGGGACTCACTTTTAAGGACCTCAAACAGACACTCAAGAAGGAACAGTGCGATGTGAGTGGTCCGCCGGGAGGAGGATGGCCCCGGGATGTGGGGCGGCCGAGAGGGGGGGGGGGGGGGGTTGGCTGTAGGGCATGGATTTTTAATCAAGTATTCTGCTGTGTTAAACAAGCGGAATTTCTTGTTGAACTTTTTATGGCTCTTGCTCCTAAGTGAAAAAATTACTGTTCAGATCTGCTCATCATAATTTCAGACCTGTGCAGGTGTGCAACTACCGCTACATCTGGATTAATAATGGGCAGATCTGCACTTTTTTTTCCTAGGCACGGGAAATAATCATCGAAATGGGTCGAGCGATGCATCATATTAGAGTCCTTGCAGTCGTAATTCGAACGACTTTAAGAAAATTTTTAAAAATTTTGAATTAACTTTTTTTAAATTTTTTGTAGCCGAATATGCCATCCTCTCCTTCGTCACCATTTAACGCGCTTGTTACTTGATTTTAATGCGTTGCAGACGCATTATATTTTTTAAAAAATTTGAATTAGAAATTTTGAATTAAGTTTTTTTATTTTATTTTTGTAGCCGAATATGCCTTAGTTTTAGTTTTTCGTTCAGATCTTTTCATCACAACTTGTAGAAAAAACGAATTTGAAAAAAATTTTCGTTATTTTCTAAGACTATGGTCGGTACATTCTGCGCTACCTGCACAGTAGGCGGCTATCCTGTTACATGTGTTTGTTTGTTTTAGCCTGCTTTGTTGGTCACTGCAATCATACCCGTTGCGAAGGTTAGTCTCACAAGCTATAATTTACATCTCCGAGTAGGTGTTACACATGTAGTTTATGAGTTTCCTCCTTTTACCTTATCAGACATTCGTGTTGTCTTTTCTTTTTTCATCTGTTTTTTTTCTTCTGCCTATATGTGCAGAAGTTGATAGTGACTGGGGGTGACTCGACGGACATGCCAATCCCCTTCAACGTCACAGACGATCTCTCCTTCGTCACCATCCTCAATGACTCCCTCACCTCCTTCAGATTAGATCTGTCGCAGCCCAACCGACAGCCACTGCTCGTCGACAAAACAGGTGCGAATTCAAAAGGCAACCTTGTTCTTCGCGCTTCCTTTTTGCGATACATTGTACAAGCCTTTTTCGTCAAAAAAAAGCACTGCCGATTTTTTTTGTTCATGGCATTAAAAAGGTGTCGAATCCCTGAGCGAAGGTGTGGAATCCCTGAGGGATGGCAACCCCCCTTAATCCGCCCCTGATGATGTTGTTGTTAGGCTGGATCATGGGGAGTAACATGCTAGTGCGAGACTTCTACTCCAACCGAAGAGGGGGTCTGGCTGAGCTGCAGCTGGATGTGATGCAGAGAGAGACCAGACACAGACGCCTGGTGTCACAGGTGATTGCCTCCAAGATGGCGGAGATCGGACGCATCCTCATCAGTCGCAATCTCCTCCGCTTCACCCAGGAGAGCCAGGTATTGTCTCATCATCTCCCATTTCAGTACCATCATTGGGTTATTTTATCCTGACTAAATTGAAAGCCAAAAACAGTGGGATTCTATTTAAGAGAAACAGAAAGTACTGTTGTCAAAATGTTGGTAGTCAAACCCACCGTTTTAAAGTTGCAAAGCATTAAAATCAAGTAACAAGCGCGTTAAACTTACTTTTGCTTATTTTATAACAGGAAATTTTCATTTATTCACTCAAAACAAATTCATTCATTTATTCACTCTTCGTAAAAAGTTTATAGTCCAGCGTAATGTTTTGCTTCAAAAATCCTTGGACGTAAATACTAAAATAGCCGCTGATATCTTTCTGTTGCCGACGAGCACTTCACCTTCTTTTCCGCCATGCAGCTTACGCGATTCATGCGGGCGAACATTAGCACTGAAGCATTCTACCCTTCGATGTTGTAACTAAAATTAGTTTTCATCTTTTCCTGGTATCATCAGTGAATTATAAGCACTAATATTTGTGAAAATGGATTTCTGTATAAGTATGCCAGTCCCATCCCATTTTTGTACCATTTATTGCAAAATCCTAAGCTAGTCGGATGCGAAATGTTCCTACTATTTGAAATGTAAACCTTATCTTTACGCATATTTACATCTGGTCAAATTGTCAGTGTTTCTGCGGAAAAAACTTCTGATGAGTAAAAGTTGAGCATCACAAAAATTTCTTTTAAGATTCTCTTAACTCTTTTTCCCTAAAATTCTCGCTTCTAATTTCAGTTCAACTCTCTCTTGATGTGAGTGTACCTCTGTCTTTGTGGGTAGTATGTATGTGGTTGTGTTGTATTTTCAGCAAAAGTACGGCCTCTTCCTCAGAGTAAGTTGCACTATACTTAACTTGACACATCTCAAAAAATCTGGAAAAGGAGACGATCAAGTGCGATGAACAAACTAATTTAAACTTGGCTCCCCTTTTTTCGATCAAACCGTCTATGTGCGAAGGGACAAAACTCAGTTTTTAACTCAATGGTTCTGAAAAAACGTAGGAAAAAATAGTTCATAATAATGACATTTTCACAAGCGATTTGCAGCTGAAAAAAAAATCAACATAACTCTTCAATTCTTCTCTGATAAATAATCCCAACTCAATGATATCTGTCAATACTAAATGCAACTTGAAGAACTTTGCTCTTTTTCGACATTTGAAAAGGAGGAGCCCCTTTGAAATGGTTTGTACATCGCATTGTTTTCGCCCTTCTCGCTCTTACTCTATTCAGTTATTCTACTGCTGCTGCTGCTCAGTTTGACTCAATCAGTATTCTTTCATATTTCATTCATTATGCTATCTAGTCTGTTCGGCTGGTAGAACAACGGCAGTGGGCTCTCCTCCTCTGTTTCCTTTCCTCATTTCGTTTCCTTCATCATTATTATTAAAATTATCATCATAACTCATCACCACGCTAACCCTAACTTATAAACACTTTCACTCAAAAGGAACAACTCAATAATACACTATATCAGGGGGCGGATCTAGGATTTTCTCGGGCGGGGGGGGGGCGGATTTTCAAAATATTTCGAAAATTTTGACGACCATTTTTTTAGGACGACTAAATTGATTTTCTGAGCTCTCCCAAACCACTATAAAGATTCTAATTTGACCAAATTTTCTGCGCCACAGGCAAATTTTTAAAAAAGGCCAAAAGGCGTTTTTAGGCATTTTTTGGAAAATTTTGACCAAAAATTCGCTTTTTTCGGCGCACGCTTCCCCCTCAAAATTAGTATATATTGGCGCCTTTAGAAAAACTTTAGGATCCGTCACCAAAAATGGATATCTCAAAATAGTACAAAGGGGGTCGGCATGGGGTCAAATTCCCGAAGGAGGGGGACGTCCGCCGCTCAACGCCTCACACCCCCCACCCCACCCCCCCCCCCCCCCCCCCCCTAAGTCCGCCTCTGCACTATATCACCCCATAGTCTAAAGTGTCTAAAGTTTACTGTTACTGTTGATTAGACGCCATTTTAAAAGTTGATTTATTTTAATCACTGTTGAAGTGGACGTTTAACATGTATTCGATGGCCGGTAGTGACTTAATGTCCGCCGCTATTTTGAAGCATTTTTAAGTTTTTGAAATCATCTGTAAAATTTTGCTTTACGATTGGTTGATTTTTGTTGCATTATATATTTGAAGATCTTCCAGGGCTATCAACTCAGATTTCAAAAAGAAATTTCGAGCAAGAGTAGCCGGCTGCTGTACGTGCAAGTGGCACAGAAAGTTTCGTGTGATGAGAGGAACAAAGAGAAAGATTATAAAAATAGTAAATTAGTCGTAATCGACTACAGTTTTTTTTCGAAAAATTAAATCAAAATCATAAAACTGAAAGTCAGTAAATTACCCAGGCTGGACAGCCTTTCATAGATCCTCTGCGAATCGCAGAAACTACAATTATCATAATTATCAATATCGATACATCACAACTAACAGGGCTATATATGATCACTCGGCCCATTCTAGTAATTAATTATGGTTCCTGATTTTGCGTGAAAAAAAACTTAAAGAAAACACGGATAGACGGTTCCGAATGTTCCGGCATTATCTTATCTAGAAAAACGCGGACTAAGTGTTAAATCAAACGGAAAGAAAAAAAATCCGATTATTTTTCATATTTTGCTCATTTTTCTGTTAATTTTTTTTTGAAACGGCTAAATGAATTAATTAGAAAACAGCTAGAATGATAACTAATTTAGCATTAGAATTCAACTAGAATTACGTGTAACTAAATTTCTCGCTGTTCACGCTTGAAGCTAGACTAAAAATATATTTTTCAAACCGGTTTTTCTCGACACAGAAAACTTAATTTTTTTTCACGACTGAAACTGCTTTATAATATTTCACTCATCCCATTTTGATGATTTTTTGTGGAACCTGATTTTGCGTCAAAAAAAAACAAAAAGAACTAAAACACTTCCGAAGACACAGTTCCTCCCCATTTTCACTGGTCGGTACAAAAGGCTCTTTCTGCCGAGAAAAACTGGTTAACGCTAGTGAGAGAAGTCACTTACCGTTTCCAAAAATTTCCAAAGGACTAATTTCAAAGATTAACGGGCTGGTCAACTCAGTATGCAAACTAATTTTATGTTTTAAATGCGAATTGATTTAAAAACTTGAAATTAGAATTTCGCACACCAAAAACAGGCAAATCTTTTTATACAGGTTCAAAATTTGCACAATTTCTTAGCACATCAAATTGGTTCTTTAATTCATTTTTTTGGTGGATGGAACTGAAAACGGCGTTAGTTAGTACCAGCTTTTTTGAGTTATCAGTTTAAAAAGCGACTGTTTTGATATTCAGTTTGATTTGACAATTGTATTTTTTCATTCATTTTTTTGGTGAAGTGGGCTGTATTCTTTAATTTTGAAATTATTCATTTGATAACTCTCGGAGTATATTGTCTTGTTGTTCTGTATTTTCTCAATGGAGTGAGTGTCCTTGGAATTGTCACAAGAAGTTTGAAACAATCAACTTCCGTTGTGATTGGTGCTTGAAAAGTCTATTTAGTCACGGGACTACATTCCGTTTTTGCAGTTCAGTGAGAACTTGCAAATGTTGAAATCTAAATTGTGATTTGTTTTAACTTTCGATTATTTTCAGCTGGAGGCGCAGGTGAATTTTGTGCACACTGAGTTGACCCGTCTGCCCTCCTTCCCCAGAAAGTGTTTGGAGTTCGATCTGCCCATCCTGAAAGGTCACGTGTTGAGTTCTCATCTTCTGGGCATAGATGCAGTACACAAGCAGATGTGGGTCTGGGTAAGATTTCAAACAGTTTTATATCGTTCGTTTTGCTTGGTACCTAAGTTTATTTCTAATGAAAGAACTATTACCTCGATTGCTTTCGAATTTCCTAAACTTACAACAGAACTATCTCCAAAAATTAAAAACAATCTTATCTGTAATGATAATAATTATGTCCTCTGACTCAGTCACAAGATTTTGGATACAAACCATATTCTTTTTCTCGAAAAATTTGTAGGTTGATGATTGAACCAAACAATTATTTAACTACATTATTAAATCTTGGATTGCCTTACAATTTGTCGAACTACTAGTGTGTGCAGTTTTTGAAATGCAATCAAGAGAGAAATAATTTTATACTCATAATACTCATGAATCAAACAGATTGTTTAAATTCGAAGCAAAATATGAGTGATGACAGTACGTTTGCTTAAAGTTCATTTTTTTATATCTCTAAGCCTAGGGCAGATTTTGGAGGTGGAGCGATTTGGTGCTAATTCTTTTCAGGTGCCATTTGGTGCAATTTTACGTCATTCATTTTTGGCAGATTCTGAACACATTCGTTTCAGTTGATTGAGTTTGAATTCGATCCAAAAACCTTACAATCAAAAATGTGTAATATATCAGGAGTAGCAGAACTTTGGTTGAGTTTAGCTGCTGTCGACGCTGTTCGAGCGGATGCCGTGTGACTTCGCGTGGGCCAGTGGGGACTTGGTGAAATTCATGACTGTGTACAATGGGGCCATCGTGACACATGCAGATGAGAGCTCGGTATTGAGATTCACTCTGGCTGCATACCTCACAGCCGCCATCAGATTCAACCAGACCATGCTACTCAAGGGGTTGGTGGGACTCTCTCTTATTTCAGATCCAACTATCGAGTTATAGTTTATTCAGTTAAATAGTTCCGCGTTTGACGCATTTCTTACCCAATTTGTAGAAACATTAAAGGAACCGTTGTACTCGAAAACAATTTCCCCGGAAGAGACACTGATATACGCGAAGAGCTAATCAAAGCATCCCGGTTCTTAAAGACGTACAAAAGCTATAGTAGAAGTAGAACTTTGTAATTCTTTCTTTACCTTGTCGCTTTTTTAATGAATTGTGAGTTCTTCTAATTCTGGTTGTGCAAATTGGCTTTTCCCGGGTAGAGCTACATATGAATGAAATGTCGAAAACATAACCGTTAACGTGCTCCGAGTGGGTGTGGTGATTCGATGTTGATTGTGTATTTTGTTTTTTGTTTCATCCAGGTACCAGCACATCATGCCAGTGTTGTTCACTATGTACCGCGAGTGCAAACAGGACAGCATAGTGTGCAAGAGTATTGAGTTCGTGGTGAAACAGTTCTACGTCATCCACCGGAAGCCATTTGTGCTCCAGTTCCTCGGATCAGTAGCCCATCTGGTCCACGTGGACAATCCCCTTTCTCACACTTACGTCACACAGGAGAAAGTCAGTATTCATATCAGCAGGATCCGTTGGTTTTTCCCTCTTCATTGCCCTAGTAAATTAAGAGTCCATGTTGAAAAAATATTAGAAAGGGGCTTTAAGCTGGGAGTGTTCATGGGAAAACGCGAAGAATTTTTAATGCGTTGGGCTTTTTTCCTAAAATTTGAATTGTATACAATTAAAAAATTCTTGCTAGAGAGTTCTTCTTACATGAGGATTAATGAATTTATGTTTGGCTTAAACAGGTTCCGTCCAAGCTACTGTACGATTTGCTCATCTGCCTGGATGAAGATGTGTCAGATCCGCTGGACATTCTGGACTTGGTCAATTATCCAAAACCTCTCAAAAATTTGGTAGGTTTTTTAAGTTATAGATCATCTTTGAAAGGTCTTTAAAAGTTGTTACCTTTAGTGAAAACAAAACTGCTGAGAATGATTTTTTCTTGCGTTTTGACAGGTGTATTTTACTGGCAATCGCTGTAGAATCAAAGCGCAGGCTTTTTCGGTTTAACTTACAGTTTATATATGAAAATCTTTTTGAAATGGTGCAGATAATTGAGATAAAATATATATCATTTTTTGTCATTGTTCCGACCATTGAAAATTTTTAGTTTTTTTTATCCACGCAAAATCAGCTACCACAAATAATCATCGTACAGGGTTGAGTGATATATCATATTAAAGCCCTTTCAGTCGTGATTCGAACGCCAATAAAAAAATTTCAAAAAAAGTGTCACAGTGTCGAGAAAAACCAGTTTGAAATTTTCAATTTTGGTCTAATTTCGAGCTCTAATTTTTGGTCTAACTAGTAAGGTAGTTAGTAATTGCAATCGCTTGTTTAAGCCTAATTTAAGCTGAAAACTTAGTTTTACTGAAGAAAAGTCAGTTTTTGGAGTTTTTTAGCGAAACTTTCTAAGTGGAATCCACTCACATTTTGAAACATGTTTTAAGCCTTGTCTTTGGATTCCGTGCACAGATTGGCTCCGTATTGTTGTTCACTGGGTCCTTAGGCTCTTTTCCAATTTCGCAACTCCTCAGCAAAATTCTGCTCAGTTTTTATGCTTGAAAGGTCAATTGACGTTTCGAACATCAAAAATCCTTTAAATAGCTTCACGTAAAATTAATTTTGACAAAATGAAGGAGGTTTAGTAAAGAGCACTTCATTATGACCCAAGCTCTCGATTGGTGTAATTCGATCTTTTTTTCCGCTTCGCTTCTGTGTAGAGGATGGAACAGATGAGAAAAAGTAATTGTTTTTGATTTTTGCCTCGCAGGACTTCTGCTACCGGGAGGAGATCCCTACCATCTCCATCCTGGACATCATCCAACTGTGCGTCCTCACCATAGGATATGCGCCAGAGAGTGTGAGGGGCAAACAGATGCTGAAGGTGTTGGAGGCACTCACTCCCCACTACATCACAGCCACTAAGAACACAACTAGACTGATGAAGAATACTGGAGGGGCTGCCAAGGCCGAGCTGATTTGCATCCAGCAGCTGTCTTCTTGTGTCAAGGGACTGGCGGCTGTTTGCGAGTCATTCGCGAAGTAAATTCAATCAATAATTTTTTTCACAATAAAAGAACCCGCCTTTTTCGGAGATAACCATATCAAACTAATAAACAACTTTTGAGAGATCAATTGAGTCGCATAGCTCAAAAACTTACACAAACTGAAAATTTTCTGCAGCGTTTCAAATAACCGATCGTTGTATGTGCAAAAAAAACTATATCATCAATCTATTGACTGTGTCGATGTTTTGCTGTTCCGCAGGAATGCATTCAATGGAACCAGCAGCAAGATGGAGCTAGTGTCTTCTAGCAACATCAGACGCAATTCCTCCATCCTCATAAGCTCCCATCAGGGCAAGTCAGCGGGACAGGGAGGGGGAAAAGTGTTAGGCGGGGGAGGACTGCCGAGGTCATTCACACAGCCAAAGGGTAGTTTCATCTACACTGGGGGCAAGCCGGTGTCTGGTACTTGGGAGCCACATAGAGTAAATTTGCGGATAATGTGAGTCATTCATTACATCTTTTCCTCTAAGAACGTGTAAAAGTTTTCATCATGTATAAATTCAAATCTATTTGCTGAACTTTTTTTCATCTAAGAGACTATTGGTTGCTGGAATGATTCCTGGGCACACGAAAAAAACGCTGTTTGTGTGAGTCGCCCCTAGAATATTTTTTACCCAATCACCACTTAAAATTGACCTACTCACGACCATCGAACCAGTTTAAAAAATAAGCGGGTATATACAAATAAAAACACATTTTATTTGCAATGAAGAGCATAACAATGGTTTTCCGCTCACTGAAGAGCTCGTTTGCTTGTCAATTCGTTTTGTATTATTTGTTGCGTGTATTTTACTTTTGTTGTAGCAGTGTTTTGGATAAATTGTGGTGTTGGCAGGAGCATGACGGAGGTGAAGGAGAGGAAGTACCGAATGAGTCTGGGGGAGGACGAGAGTGTGTACAGGGAGTTCAGGGAGCCCAGGTGCAGTCTGCTCCACTTCGCCACCATCTGCCACACCATGTGTCACACCAGGGCCACTGAGTTGCGACGCCTCCTGTTGGAGGAGAGCAGCAAGAACTCCTCCTCCCCCTGCACCAACTTCGAAATTATCGACGCCAAAACCCACTCGGTTGGTGTTCGTCCGGTTATTGCCCGTAACAGCTCTACAAGTACACGCAGTTTGCCGAAATGGCCATTAAAATTAGCTCACGAGGATTTCTATACATCATTTTAAAATATTTTAAAATGAAGTTCAGGCGTACATAAATCATGTTTACCGTATACATTAAACCGGCCATAATGTATGAACAATCCAAGTGAATCCATGTGCACAAGTAATTTGTTACAGTAACCAAGTGAAATTTATTCCCCCTGAACCGAATGGGTGGGGGATCGTTCAATTGGTCAAGGTAAACCAAACCCTTGAATATTTTGATAATAGCTTAAATTTGTGACTTGATTTGTGAATGGGGGGTTTGTGTAGCGTCTGATGGAGGTGGCCCTGGCACTTCTCAAAGTGGCTCCTCATGACCCCCTCACTATGGGCTGCTATGGCCTGCAGAGGTACATCACGGAATTGGTCCCAAACACAGACTGGTCCTCGGAGGCGAACAGGAATGTGCTCAACTCCCTCCTCAAGCGACTGGAGAAGGTGTTCCTCAAGATCACAAAGAAACACGCTATCAGAGTATGCTTTTAAATGTTTCCACACGAAATAAAAGTGTGATAACCTTACCCGATTTTAGCCTTAGGTCAAATTCAATTCTCAAGACATAGCGCCGCTCAAACATACGCAATAAAGCAGGGATTTTTAGGGATTTATAGTATTATTTCAGAATTATTATAATTAAAACGATCGCTGCATACATTCTATGTTTTGTGAATTTTGAAACTTTGTTTTTTTTTCACTTTCGAATTTAAAGTTTTGTTTATGATCAAATCTTTAAAACCTGGTTTATTTCAAATGTTCACCACTTTTTTTGTTTGTTTGTTTCAGAGACAAGTGGACTGGGACTTTGTTAGCAACATGGTGAAGGGTGTCTACTTGACACTCCTCAAACAGCCCTATGTTGCGCACTCAGCAGCTATGAAGGTATGTGGTGCAGAATTCTATGTTCTTTTAACCCGATTAGCAGTATGTTATAACCACACAAGCAGTGGCTATTGTTTTGATACAAGCCACTTTTTCAAGGTAGCAAATTAGAGATTCGAGTTCGCTGCAAATGTGAGCATAGATTTTTGAGCACTTGGTAGTTTTTTTTCAACTTGCCTCTTTTTGGAACATTTCTGTTTTAATTGTACATGTACATGCCTTGCCCTCATGCGAGGACTGATATAGAATTTTTGCCAATGGGGGGCGGGTTTAAATAGGTTTGTCGACCAAATCGGTTACCTGAATTCTCAATTACCTTAATTACCTGTGTAGCAACAACAACAACAACTTGAATTCTCCCAAAAACATAATAACGACCCTATTGTGACCAAATTTTCTGGTGTATTTTTTGGTGAAAGATTTTTTGGCAATGTATAAACGTATACATTGGCGCCCAAGGCGCCTTTAAAAAACTTTAGGGTTGGTTGGCCGGAAATGGATTGCTTAAAATAGTACCAAAGAGGGTGGTAAGGAGTTAATAGATGAAGAACAAATGCCTGCTGAATAGTTTATTCGCTCACGATGCAAATTTTTTTTTCTATTTGTTTTTCTTCCTAAGATGACTATGGTCGGAATTGTCTGTTCACAACAGACAAAAACCAGCTTGTTCCAACCATCTGAAAAATGAGGAGGAATTTTGTATTCGTATTTTAGTTTTTTCTTTTTGTTTTCCACGCAAAATCAGGTGGTACCACAAATAATCATCGGGCTGGATTGAGTGAGATATCATATTAAAGCCCTTTCAGTTGTGATTTGAACCACATTACAAAATGTACAAAAAAATTTCCCAGTGTTGAGAAAAATTGGTTTGAAAATTTCGATTTTTCGTTTTAATTCGAGCGAATGAAGCAATGGGAGCAGGCTTACAACAGCTGAATTATGCCTAAATTAAGACCTAAAAACTTAATTTTAAGCAAATATAACTAGTTTTTAGAGTTTTTTACTTTCCTTTTGGGAACCAAAAACTTCAAAAGGAAAGTTTTCAAAGGAAATTTTTTTTTTTAGTTATTCTAATCAATTTTGTACAAAAATTTTTGTCCAATTTGCCTATATTACTATGACTGTCTAATATGCCTAAATTATATTTCAACGTCAGACTCTTTCATCACACAAAGGCGAAAAAATTACACTATTTTGGAAAAAAAAACTTTCTAAACCGTAATTTTCTAAAGACCATGTTCGGAACATTCTGTGCTACTTGCACAATAACCGGCAATCCTTGTTCCAATTTGCTTTCATATCCGAAATTACCGTTGAAATAGTTGGTACGTATTTTATGATTTCGTATAATATCATCTGATAACAAGGATAGCAAATAGCAGAGAATGCTTCGACGATAGTCCTAAGAAAATACAAAAAAAAATGTTTTTTTTTTTTAAATTTAGTGTCGTTTTTTTTCTGTGTGGTGTGATGGTAGGACCTGAACAATAAAAAAAAATTAGGTTTATTTGATAGTCATATTCGAATAAGCCAATTTGAAAACAGTTTGAAAAATGACTAGCAAATAAAAAACGTTAAAAAATTTAAGAAAGTTTTCAGTTTTTGCATTTTTTCTCAAAATGGCGCTAAAAACTTTCTAAATCTATTTGTGTTTAAGTAAAACTAAAATTTCATGGCCTAAATTCAGCTTTTTTAAGCGGTCAAAAGTTTCGAACCGGTTTTTTTCGACACTGAGAAATTTTTTTTCTAAATTTTCAATAGTCGCTCGAATCACGACTAAAAGGGCTTTAATATGATATATCACTCGACACATTCCGATGATTGTTTCTGGCAGCTGATTTTGCGTGGAAAACAAAAAACAAAAAGCTAAAACACACCCGAATACAAGGTTCACTCTAAATTTTTCAAATGGTCGGAACAATTAAAGATAGATAAAAAGACCAGAGTATTCGGTTGTTGTGTAACTAGCTCAAAATTCGTGACTATTAGGTTCATTGGCTCCAATTTTACAAAATTTGGACAAACCTTTAAAAAAAAGTTTGTCCGAATAAAGAAGAAAAAGAATTACAATATGCATTGCAGCAATGTTTCCCCCGATACGGTATGTATTCTACTCTTGGCAACAGGAAAAAAATATTTTAAAACTGAAATTAAGCTCAAACCACTTAAGTCAACCGGTTTAATTTTAAGTCAAAATAGCAAAAATTCAATACTGAATTATCAATTTATTCTCACACCACCTTAAATTTGGATGAAAAAGAAAATGAGTTCATAGTCACACCAGAATAGCTAGTTTGTTTCGACATCCGAAAGGGAATACGCTCAGTAGCATCCAATTTAAAATATATTCGATTGCTCGATTTCAGGCGTTTCTCTCTGTGTCTCTCAACTTAGTTCTGGACGACGGCAGTTCCCCAGGAGGAAGTGAGGGGATGGCCATTCTGCAACTGGGCACGCCCCTTCTAGGAAGAATCAATCTCACCCCTCCCCCAGCTTTCATCTCAGCTGTGATCAGACTCACCGCCCTCCAAATGCACCTGCTAAAGGTAAAAGAAATTTTCAGATTTTGCTTGTTTTCACAAGCATTTGCAGGCCTTTAAACGTTTTATGTCAAAAGTTCATGGTTAAATTGTAAATCATTCGAATTTTGAAAAGCAAATGATTATAGAAGTTGATTTTATCAGTTGAAATTATTTCCGTTTTCATTCAAAATTTGTAAAAGGGATCTTGATGAATTCAATAGTATCTCAAATCTTTATTTCATAATTCTACGCTCAATTCTACTGACTGCAGAGAATATGATTTCATGTTATCAATAATTGTGATCGGTAATTATGACCAACTCTGTGTATGTCTCCTTTCGTAGGATTCACGTCGGGGAACTACCGTGAATCGCATACCAATGGCAGACAATGGCGTCTCTCTCTTATTTTATTCCGGAGCTCGAATTCTCGTCAGTAGAACGATCGGATCTGCCAAGGTTTGCGCCGGAAATGATGTAATAATTCAGTTACGTCATCATCATGATATAATTTTTAGTGTCATCAGAACATATTAGTTAGATCAGTTTCGTTACGTGACCAATTATCCTCTTTCCTATCTATATAATCACTGTTCTCGCCAACTGATCAGATTCAATTTAAAACGTAGAGATAAGACTCCGTTTAGTTGAGTTATTGAAAAGCTCTTGTCATCCTGTCTTTAGAATCGAATCAAAATATCCATACGGGTTCCTCACCCATGCAGAAGCGCCATAACCGTGAGATGTGCCATTAATGGCTCCTCGGAAACCATAAGTCGCGTCATATATGGCTATTAAAAATAATCCGGGAGTGCAAATAACGCGCAAATTTATTTATTCTTCGAATTTACTTTCAAAAATAAAATCATTTCTTTGAAGTTTGATAAAAATGAATCTTTGTTTTAAATACAAAAATGATTTTTAATTTGAAAATAGATTCTAGAATTGCAGAAACGAATACTCTCGGAAAATGACCAATTTTCAAAAATTTGAATCTTGCGGGAAAAAAGTTTTGTTCATTTTTTCTTATTGGGTGCTATTTTTATCAAAAATTATCATCGAAATTTAGTTTAAAATGCAGAGAACTATCAGTTGATGTGATCTTTTTGCGTGTCTTTTTTCAGTATAAATTGCATGTATGCTATGTCCTTAAGATTAAGGTAATGTTATGTTTGTTCTCTTTACGAGTATATAACGCCTACATAACTTTAGCAGCACATCGATCCAGTTACATGCAAAATAGTCTGGCTGGCTAAAAATTTGACCGCGATATTTCAACAATCAAAACTACTTAGCTGATTGTCCTGATTATGGGCTTAAGGTTGTCAGTGGGCAAGCTGGCAACACAATAGCGCGACTGCGGTGGTCTCTACTGTTTTCGCCTTTATTTTACGAGTTTGAAAAATAGACGATTAGTTGTATGCCTCTGGACTGTTATGCTATTAAAGTAGTATGCTGTTAAGATCACACACTGTCTATACACAAGTGCAACTTCATTATTCTACCATGCCAATTTCATTCGAAGGTGTGATTGCAAATTTTTACGGTTTTCAAACTTCATTAGTCATATCATTTGTTACATAAAGCTCCGGTTGTTGGAAATCATGCCGACGGTACTATAGGTCAAACTGCCAAAAAAAACAAAGTAAAATTGGTAAAAAAAAATAAAAGAAAATAGGATCAAAAACATATATTGTTGGTTTTTAAAGGTATGTTTCCTGCTTTTAATATTTACTAAAGCATGGCTTTTGTTCCGATTTAAACAGTTTTAACTATAACTGAGTTTCACAAGTTTGTAAATTTACCATGTCTGATTTTGAGTTTTTTTTATCGTTTTTTTTAAATATTCAAACAGTCTTAATTAATGTTAAATCGTTTCAGTCAACTTATTTGGCGTAATTTCGAGGGCAAAATATATCCGTTTGGGATTATGTGTTTCAATTGGATGGGTCGTTTTCTTTTCGGCTCAACAGGTTTCGACCCAAAATTTCTCGCTTTTGTGGCCGCTCGGTAAATGCTTTCTACTTTTTAAGGGCTGTTAGTGATCTTCATCCGATACAAATATGAGTTTTTTTATGGTAAATTTTCAACTTTTGCCAAGTTGTTTTTTCAAGTAATTTTTTCCAACATAACTTTTCAGAATTTTTTTGACTTGCCTTTTTTCATTCTCTATTTTGTACCACAGTGTGTGATTTGCATCGCAAGTGTTGCGAAGCTCAGCTTCGCCTCTTTGTACAATTTGTATAAAGTTTTGATTCTTATAATTTTCAGAGGAGGTTCAAGTTATAAATAGCAAAGTAATTTTTTTGAAATGGAGATGCTACACGACAGACTGATGCCTTTTTGGTATTCTCCCAAGCCGACGTACAATTTCAAAGACGATATATTATCAATTTTGGCTTGAAAATAAAATTATTATTACTATTTTGTTTGTTTTATCCTAGGTTCCGAAAAGTGTTACTTGATTGTTCATTTTTTTAACAAAAATTTTAAAATCATTGGAAAAATTAAATTAAAAGTTCATTTTTTGAAGTTAATTTTTGCTTACTTTCATTAGCGTTTGAGTCATCTGGGTTGCAAATAATTTGACTACGCTTTTTTATGACAAGGAAAGTACCTTTTTGTATATGATGCGTTAGTATCAACTTTTACTTTAATTCATGATTTTTAATTTTCTTTCGCATAAGAGGCCCTATTCCACCTAATGAGCCTCAAAATGGCATCAAATTATACTTCACTTACTTCCTAATTATTGATCGGTTGTTTTGACATTGTAAAGAGTTTTTTAAGTTGAAAGTCAGTTTGAAATCTAGCTCGCATGTGATTCTTAAAAATTGAATCAATTCTTCTAAAACTCTTTCAATTAATGTCCTATGATCAGGCAGATAAAAACCATATTAGTGTAAAATTTTGCAGTCAAGTTTTGGGAATACCATTTTTCTATACCATTTATAAAATGAGTAAATCATACAAAAATGATTTCACTTGTAATCGATCAACCCAAATGGGGTCATAAAATATGCAAATCATGATAACAATTAATTTGTACTTTTTTGATTTTTTGAAAAGGCGCTACTTTTTTTCACACGTTTCTGTATGATTAGTTTCAATTTAGCTGAATGATCTAACAATGGTTTAGCTTTGGCATTATTTTTTTCTACTTCCAAGCCATTGTTATTACGCTTTTTGTTCCGATCTCTTCTTCAAGTCGGAACGAACTATGGCGTAGGATGGGTTTTCTCCACTCGATTAGGTACCTCAAGGAAAATTCGGGGGATGTTTAGTGTGGTATCGCATTGAAGCCCTACTTGTCGCGATTCGCTTTTCAAAATAGTTTTTTTATTAGAATCCGCTCACTGTCAAGAAAAACGGGTCTGAATTAATGCCCTTTTACTGGGAGGAATGGCTAAGAAGATTACAATGTTCACTGTGGTATATAATTCAATTATGTCCACCCGTCTAAAAAAGGAAAAATTAGAGAAAAAACTTATACAATTTTTTAAAAAATCGTTTGGCTTGGATTACTCTAGTTGAAAAATTCTGGCTACTTGCACTGCAAAGGGACATCATTGGCCAATTTTTCTCTGTGAATTTCAAACTGAAGTCAATTGGAAGTGTCCGAGAACAAGCGCCACATTCGATGTTCGCGCTTTAGACTCATCTGGGTTCCAAAATTTTTTTAATACGTTTTTTTTTATTACAAGGAAGTATCTTTCTGTTTGTGTTGCGTTAGCTACAAACTTTACTTTGATAGATTTAATTTTATTTTTCGCACAAGATGTGCAAATTTACATATGAGCTGCAAGATGGCAGTTTGAAGTGATTTTGTTAAGATAAACTGTCTTCCAACAGTAAGAAAAACTTGGAGAAAGTTGAGAGATTACGTTCATGTATGGAATGCACTCATTTGTTCGTTAGTACGAGGCCCACCCGCACTCACACCTGCGCTTCCGCAGTATCCAACTGAGCCGCAGACCACAATTGACCGCCATACAACTCGGCAACGCCGCCATCTTCAACCAGCAACCGCGCGCCAGTCGCGCAAACAGCGCTGGAAATTTCTTTCAAGCGCTCACTTTTCACAAATCGGTTTGTAAACTGGACCAAAAGATAAGCTGTGGAATTCGGAGTGTGAAATAACCTGAGATCGCGTGAAGATTAACTCACTGTAGAGTAGATAGGATTTAACAAGAGTGAAAGTGTCTTCAACTTGTCTTGTGGTTAATGAAGCATAATTTCCTGTCCTGGACGCGTGCTTATGAAGATGTTGTTGGTCCGCGTTTTCTAATCATGTGTAGCTCTGCGATAACTTAGTCATCTAACTGGTTTCTTACTTAGTTTTTAACCTTCCCAATTAATGATAATAAAACACTTATACGTATCTTGCTGCCAGAAATCATCTTCAACAACAAAACATTAGAAAAGCAACTAAACTACTCAGCTCGAGCAAGGTAGATATCGAGTGAAATTGATCTCGAAGCATTTGAAGCCAACTGATGACCTATGCTGCACCTACCAAATTTACCTAGCTGGCAAAGTGTTTTCTCTACCACGATTTCAGCACTATTTATAGAACTATACTACAGCCAGAGAGTAACCGGTAGCTGTGCAAGTAGCACAGAAAGTTCCGCACTGTAGCGAACCTAGTTCGCCATTTCAAAAATTTTGTCAAATAATCGAATTTTAGGCTAAATAGATTCTTTTCAAGCTAAAACACTTGCAGGCTTATTAATGAAAAAAAAACACTTTGAGAACTTCTAGAGGATCTAATTGATTCAAATTTTTTGATTTTAGTAAACATTATTCTTCACATTAGTTCTTTCACATTAGTTATCATCAGTTCACCTCCATCACTTGCTAACCCAGAACATCTCATGCTACCCTTTATATTGGTTCATTCTTTCTCTTGTAAAATATTATTATTCTTTCAGTTCGACTGTTTGCCCCTATCTGCCGAAAGGCACAAATATCACCCTTGAAATTCTTAGTCGAAAAGATAGCTTGTGGTTGTTTGTACAATTATGGATCAAAGAAGTTACAATTTATTGATTTCATCGAGCAAATGAACATTTTTTTCTTAACGTTTATGTCGTATTCTTATTCATTAAAATAGAGTGTTTAAAGCTTGACATATACTAGATGAACTAATTGGAAGGAGTTGAATCGATAAAATGTTGAGAGATTGTTTTGGAGGCGTTAAATAGCCAGTACATCATAACTAGTTTTAAGGGCATTCTTGCTGTGGAAACTTCCTTACAAACAACAAAAGAATAAATTTAAATTAATGAGTTAAAATTTGTTCTTTGGGAAGCTGATGAGCTTGAATTACTCTTAATGTTGTGGAAAAGCGACAGTCAAAAAATTTAAAAGAGTTCTTGGTCCGGCAGCAAAAAAACTGTCGTATGTTTTGACGATACATGCATTAAAAAGGTCTTGAGGGCTTATACCAGAAGGTCCAACAACACTTAGAGATAACATAACTGCTTATGAGGGATCTGGGTATGGATCGGGGCAGTGAATATATCGTAATATTTGTTGAAATAGTTCTGTTTTTTGGCTTCTTTTAGTCGTCAGCGCGAAGTAACTCTTAAATATTTAGCTGGTTTATTGAAGCCGTACCAAGTAACTTTTTTTCCTTTTGTCTGTCGTTTTTCCGCGGCAGTAAGAGTAACTTAAGCTCAGCAGCCTCCCAAAAAACCAAATGAAACCCATAAGTTCTAATTACTTGGGTTGTTTGCAATGATTTTCCACAGCAAGTACGTTTCTGAAACTATTTATTCAATTCTACGCTTTCAAAACAAAATTGCTCAAACTTTGATCCCGTGTGCTCCTTTCAAATACTTTCTTCTAGAATTTTTTTAAATAGTTGCAGGGAAAACGCCAAAAATGTCTTAAAAAAAATCGTTCATTCGCCCATTAAAATCAAAAATTTTTTGTCCGGTGACTGGATTTTGTTTTTCCTAGAAGTAATATTTGACATCTCAAAATGAAAGTCTAATTATTTTACAGACATGATGATCTTATGTGCATTTTTTAAAGAAAAAATATATTCAAGTTTTCACAATTATAAAACTATCTTCCTGAATTGTAGCTTCAAAAATTGTAGTTTCTTTTTATTTGAACGAATTTTCTATTTTCGACTAAGAAGCGTTTTGAATGTACCTATGTTTAAACTATAGTGTACAATATGTATTTGTAGGCTGACTATCCATTGGATCAGATCTTGAACACGAACTGTAGGATCATCTGTGGCCAGGAAAAAGCTGAGAACATCTTCATCAACCTCCTCATTCCCCTGTTCACACATATGGGCAGCAACAGACAAGGTCACATCACAACACACTTTGCTTACACAAACTACTTTTTTGTATCACGATTTTTTGGATTAGAAAAAAATCATCGATGTCGCGTTATCTTTTCTCTAGTTGTCTCAAGTAGTGCTCACAGAAGTATCCTACTATTTTTTCCAAGATTCCTTAAAATTGAAACTTCATATCAATTTGAACTTAAATTTTTCATTGAGCTCAAAAATCAAATTAAAATAGCAGCTGTAAAATAGCAGCAACTGCAATTTTCATAACTTTGGTTGTGATGATGTGTTTTTTTTGGTTCACTTTAGACTGTCCCAGAATGCGCACAGACGACGTGTCCTTTATCTGTCATACCATCTTCAACACCATGCTACCCTCCTCCAGTCTGCACCATGGCAGGGCCACCTCCCAAAACTCCTCCTCCTCCTCATCCAACAGCAACGGAACCAACTCGGCTGTCGTCGTCAACTCCACAGTTGGGTCCACCTCCAATCCAGCGGCACCTGGACTGAATATTGAGAATGTGACTCATGTGCCCAAGGCGGTGAACAACTCCCCCAACCCCCCACATAATCCCTCCTCGGCTGACTCGGCCGGAGCTATGTTCGACTCCTTCTTCGAGAGTGGGTTCCTAGGTTAGCAGCCAATTACGTCTTATTGTCCGCGATTGATCTCCGTTCAATGCAGCTATAGATGGGCTTACGAGTTCTGGGTTTGGTTTCACGATGGCTAAGGTCAAAGAAAGCACATATGTATTCTCCGAGTGTATTAATATATTTAAAAATTTTCACGCTCAGTGAAGTTACTGTTTTTTTTTACCATATCAACAGTTATATATTTTCAAGTATATTGCTCTACGAGTGTTCTGATTGTTGCATACAATGTTGAGTGTGTGTTAGCTCTGAAGTTCCTGGTGGCCTGCTTTCCCGATGGACTGAAGCGGGACTGGGTGTGGATGGCTGGGTGTGTGAAGGAGATGGGTTCCACCCTCCACTGTGGCATCGCATTCTGGGACTTCCTCCTCTTCATTATAGAACAAGACGCATTCCTCTTCACCCTCCTCAAACCCTTCCTACAATTCAAGGTCACTGAACACAATTAAACTTCCATCAGCACTCCCTGTATGGTTACTTTTTGACATCTATTTACTTGAAATGTTGCAAATTCGAGGAAAAGTTTACTGAGTCTGAAAATTGCTGCTGCTTAAAAAATATCCTAAAAGTATTTTGGGTGGCAATGAAAGAGTTAATTAATTCGTTGGGGTTTGAATTATATAATTGATTGGTTTTTATTCCCAAGAAAATGTACTTTCTGTGTAATGTTGTGTTTTGCCAGATGTGTCGTGTGATGTGTGCGACTGAGCCGGAGATGGCGTTCCAGTTCTACATCCAGCACAAGATATTCAGTCCAGTCAAGGAGAGACCCTGCAAGGGCACCACACTCGAACAGCTCGGCAGCGAGTTCCGCACTCTCAAAGCACGCAATGCTCAGACACTCCTCAAAGGTAACGTTTCAGTCTATTTAGTTACCTCTCAATTCTTAGAATGCTTTTCTACAGCTGCACACACAGTGAATGTTTTTGAGATGCTGTAACACGTGTATTTATTATTCAGACTAATTGGGAAAGTATACGAGCGATCTAAAGTAAAAATAATTTTAAAGCAAATGAGATTTGGGAGAACACGTAAAGGATTTCTCAGAGAACCATTTTTGTTTATATGATATTCCAGAGGTATATCATAACTTCAAGCCAATTAAAAATACGTTATCAGAGAAAACCGAAAAGCGCTGTTTTGCTTACCAAAAGCGTTTTTTAAGATAAATCAAATACCATTCGCATTGTGCACGAACCTCGACTTGATATTAAGACGTCAACCTTAGTTTTAAACAAGAAGACAAAAGTGTGCTCTCTGGCTTCTAAATTCCACAGACCTTTCTTTCCTTTAAACGTGTTAAAGGTTTTTGTAGCCGGAATCCGTACACAAAGGATGCCTCCACAAAAATCAGACAATTTGTTCACCACAGTAAATATTTGAGACATCCAATGACAAATGATAAACTATTGTCTCGTGATGCTTCTTTTGTGTAAAATCAATTGTCTTTACACAAGCAAAGCTTGTGTTATAGTATGAATTCTCTTTTTTTCAACTTAAAATGGTGTTGCGACAAAATGTGTTCATTTTGAAAGTGTTCTTTTTGATCAATAACCAGCTATTAAGTGCAGCCAATGCTAAGGATATTAACAGAGACTATTATATTACAAATAACACTTTAGCTTCCAGGTATCATGGATCTGTAGCGTAGAGTTAGAGAAGGAGACCAGCAAAAAAATAAGAGGGCTCAAACCTGGGCAGGGTCGAGTGTTTTATTGAACTTTTTCGTATACTAAAATGCGTCCGCTCTATAAATTAAGGCATGTTAGGTGGTAAATTTATTTTTTTTTCAGATTGACTGTTACTGCTAATGCTTTATAATTGGATTGCGTCACTTTGCGATTATGTAGACTCATTATTTGCGTGCGCCACTTAAAAAAATTTGTAGACTCAAAACTTTTTTTCATTCAGTTTTTCCCAGTAGCATTATCGGTCATATTTTTGCTTGTGTATGCGAAGTGAAACTTTGCCTCTGTGTTCAGTTCTAATAACTTGATTTTTGTCTAATCATCTGCAAATGTTTGAGAAAATAAGCGACAATATCCCGTTAATTCAAACTATTTGAAACGTACTCAAGCCATTTCTTAAGCCATTTTTAAAGCAAGGTTTTAGTTATTATAACTCTTTTTTTTTATTATGTAATGCAAAAATCATAGATGTAAACAATATAAATTACCAGTTTAGGTACGTGTTACAGAAGGGCAGTCAATGCTTATAAGGCTTCACTCGCTCTGATACATAAACTTTTGTGTTTCCGAAGTTGAGCTTCGCTTTTATGTAAGTTGATGCCCTTTTAATTGTTTTTGCTCCACGAAAAGCAAAATTTTTAAAAATTGTTCTTGTTTGCAAATTCTAGCTTCAGAAAAAGACCAATTCAAGGATAATTTTTCCAATTCAACCAAAATGGTATGATTAAGTGTTTTAAGTATTATTGTAACAAATTAAGCGACAAATTCGTGATTTTTAAAATTTAAACTATGAAAAGCTAATCAAGTTTGATATTTGTTGACATGTTTTACCTAAATTTACGGATAGTGCCTGAATTTGACAGATAAGAAGCGCCAACATGTTAAGAATTGTTTTAATTAGTTTTAAAGCTTCATTCGACCTGAATTTTTTGACCTGGCTTAGTTACCTTAATTGGTGTTACTTCAAGGGCCAAAAAATGATTGATTGAGAAAATATTGTCAATTGTCGGGCAAAATTTTACAGTTATGAAGCTTTATCTGCTCAAAAGTTTTTTACCTCAACAGTTTGTAAGGTTTTTTTTTGTCTTCAGATTAATGAGAGGCCTAGAGCGGCTATTTTTGGCTCAATGAAAGAATTGTGGGCTTAGTAGCCGCTCGTTTAGAAAATTAAAATTTTGTTTTTTTTGCTGTTTTGTTGCGTTTCTTGATGACTATTTTCTAGTTTTTTTTTCTCGTTGTTTTCCCAAATTAGTTTTTTGTTTAGTTTGTTATTTCCGTTTTGTTTTGTAGTCGCTAGCATGCGAAGCTCCACCTTGCCTCTGTTTAATTTGGTTTTTTACCGACTACGATAAAACAATTTATTTGAATATTCATACAGAGCTCGGACCATATGCCACACTCCTGTCTAGATAATGCCATATATTTGCTGGTTTTTGCTTATTCAAACTACTTTTTTCAAAATTTTCTTTAATGTTTTACACATAATTTTCTGTTTCTTTGAAGATCTTCAATTTCGTATTTCATTCGGTAAAACGGGCAGTGCTTTGTAAGCTAAATTTGGTTTGTCAGCTTTCCCCTTATTGTTTCTGGTGCTTCATATTATAGTTTTTGCTTGATTACTTACCCTTATGAGTGAAAAATAAATTCTTCTTCTTAATGAACGAAGGCCGTGATTATTTTTTGTTTTACTTTCCGGAAAAATTTAGTGAAGTTTGAACACATCAGATTTGATCTATTCCAGTTTGGCTTTTTAAAGAGCAGATTAAACTCTTTTCTTCAAAGGAAAAGAAATTATGATATCGAACTAAGAAAGCGGAAATAAAACACAAGAAAACGTAAATGGTCACAAGGTTCTTGGTTCTCAAATTCAGATTTCCCTGCGGAATACTAAAATTATGTAATGATCCTGTTTTGTGAAATTGAAATAGTTTTATGGAAACAGTAAAACAAAATTTTGTTGGTATTTAAATAGGCTCAACTTCAAATATGATTTTTCAAAAGTTTCAAAAAACTTTCTTCAATCCAATGTTAATTTTTTTGTTTTATTTGAGTTTAATGAAGCGTTTCCAACTGTTTATTGGCTATGTTTAAATGGAATGTAAATTGTTTCAGAGCGTCTTCGAATGGTGCAGGATTTCTACGACAACAACTACAGACAGCACAGTGTGCCGACCATTTCAGTGCAGAGCTCTCTGAGAGACCACCCAGACGGCCATCTGTCAGCCTCCAAACACACTCTGGACTCATCTTCCAGTCACGCCAATGCACTGCAGCATGACTACTCGGATACTCCCGGACAGATGAACTGGAACAGACGTCTCAAGAGAGGTACGTTAGATCTGTTTTTAAGACATTTTTTAGGGCTCCCATAGCTTCTTAACACCATTTGCTCTTCGTTATCTTATTCTAGCAAAAAACAATCATTATGAATTCGATTGTCAACAATTTTAGACAGTGTTTTACACCATGCTGCTAGCCTCTGAAAAATGTGTAATCAGATATAGATAGAAAAAGCTTTGTAAAATGTACCTTAATGAAAACAACTAACAAGTTTGCATAAGTCATTCAAATATAATAAAATATTGACCGAACCAGTTGGATTATTTAGTGAAAAAGCAACTGGGTAAGTTCGATTTCTTTCTATTCTCCGAGTTACATAATAATGCGGTGGGAATGACATAACAGAAGATAACAGTGAGTTACACATGCAACAATGAAGATGGTTACGGTCATTTCGCTATATCATCATTGCTTACCATTTGGGTGCTAACTTGTCATGTCAGGGCTAATTTTAGTTAGGTCGCTTGTATTTAACCTGAGCTAGAGGACGGGGGCAAGCACGCTAACTCTTGTAATTTTGTTTTTACTCACATAACACTCCATAATTTTCCTTAGCTTTGGTTTCATGCGCAGTGTAGTGCTCTCAAACGCTTCGAGTCTGTTTCCGCTGCTCATCAAATTAGGACTTTTCTTTCAAGTTTCTTTAAAGTTAAATTGTCCTGGTGAAGTCAACTTAGAGTAGATATATTATAAGAGTTATTTCGATAGTTAGAGTCAGTCAATTCAGTGTTGTTTTATTTTACCCCCTAGTATCACGACAATACCCCCACACAAATACTCAATAATAGACATTAGTGGTGTTGTGAATTAGTATCAAGAGCACCCATATTTTGTGCAAGTGGCACAAAAAGTAACGGCCGCAAAATATACAGCAAAAAGTTTGAAAGAAACAAAAATCAATGATAAAAATTTGGAATTTTTTATAGTTTTCTTCTGTGTTTTTTTGTTCTTTCACTTGTTCATGGGATTTGTTGAAAGTGGGATCAGTACTTGTCAAAATAACTGGACTAAGTCACCAAAACAATTGTTAAATAAAGAATTCTGAATTAATGTTAATCATACTCAGTCTAGCGGCATCAGTTATCAATCAGACTTATGAAGATGGCAAGGAGATGTTGTGATGCAGCTTGAAGAAAATCAGCTGGATAATGCTGTAGTGTTTCAATAGTGATCATAAACACTCAAAGCCGTAAAAATGGGCAACCGTCTTATGTTAAAACGATAAGCAAGTAATTCTCCTGCAAACTATAATTTTTTGAATCAAATGGGATCGATTATACTAAGTTGCAAAAAGTTTAAACAGGCAGAATTTAAGAAAAAAGAGCAATCTGCCTATATATTTTTTCAGTTTTTGTTTCCAAATATCAATTTTCTGGTGACCATGACACCTAATGTCTGTTCTAGCAATTAGTTTTTGCAGGCATTAGTTGTTTGAAAAGGGTCATTTCCGCTTTGTATTCAATTTTTCTCTGTTCCAATTTTTTGCAGCTCTCTACAGGGTGTTTCCCGTACCCAACAAAGGCTTCTAGTTTGAACAAAATTTTGACTCTTTGTCCTTCCCCACCCCACCTGCAAAATTTTGCTAGTAAATTTTTTGTTCACAGTCTTTGATTGGTTACACTAGCCATCAGCTTAGTGTATTATTACGGACTTTCTTTTTTATAATCTAACTCGCAAATAAAAGTGTTCATTAAAATTGCTCACTTATTTGGAAATTTCACTGTATCGTTGGAAATTGCATAGCATCTGTTCTCTGCTTTATTTGTGGCTAGTGTTTGTGACCTATGAAGCGTCCGTGGCTGAGTGATTAGTGCGTGAAACTAATAATCTCTAGGTCGCAGGTTCGAATCTCAGACGTAGTCGAATTTGCTAATTTGAGGCTTCTTTCTACTTTTTTATTGAAATTTACAGAGCTGCTTTAGCTCTTTTCCACCCAAAAAAATTCAAATGTGGGGGGGGGGGCTGGAAAAGAGCCGTTGCTTTTTGTCATGTTCTCGCTAGTGTTCTAGAAGGTCAGCTTCGCCTCTGTGAACCTTGATATACGGACCAACTAGGCCATGAGAATCATATTTTATCTTCATATTTAACCTAGTAAAACCCCTCGTAACACCATAAAATTGATGCTTGTGTTAAGGAAAAGAAAAAGAGCCCAAGTTTTATATAAAAAACTCAACATAAATTTTGTGTTTCCTGCATTGTTACTTAATCTTTTTTTAAAAGTTTTATAATCGTTTTACTGCTCCGCCGCAACGAGATAAACGTTTATTCTGCATGATTTGAGAATAGAAAAAAGTCGTGTCAATACAATGCAAATAAGCACTTGTTATACCAAGTGCTACTTTGCATTAGTTTGCTGCAATTATTACAAGACTTCAGAACGTGTGGCCGAGTGGTTATCGCAAAGGTCCACCTAATAAAAGATCAGGGGTTTGAGACCCACCAGGAGCATTTTTCTAGATAGAAATAGACTAGATTTAGCGAACTTTTGATCAGAAATAAAAATCAGAAAGAAAAAAATTTAAGAAAATGCCTGCTTTATTTAAATTTTCAAAATTAGTTTCTGATCAGATGTTTGGATTAGAAGTTAGTTATTTTTCGACGGAAATGAAAAAAAGTGTTCAGTATGGGTTTCAAAACGTGTTTTTTTTTTTTAAAAGTTTTCATTTCACCAAGATTTGGTTCCTGGAAGTGATTTTTTTTTGCAGTAGACAGCAAAAATTTGTGAAGTTCTTGTGAAGTAAATCATTGAGTTGGATTTTTTGTTCTCGTATTTTTTTGAGCAATTTACTGAAAATTCAATATATTTTGAACTGAACAAGGTTATACTGTGCTGAATTGAAACAACCGGATAAAATGAACTAAAACAGAATTTTCAATCTTTTTTTTCACACTTGCTTATACTCGGCCAAAAAAAGATGAGGACGAAAATTGCTCGGAATTTTATCAACGTTTTTATGGTGCAATTTGTTTTGCAAACTTTCAAACTAAAGTTACTCGTTTAAAACGAGTCAATTCATTTGGTTCAAAATAAAGGAGCTAAACAGTTTTAAGGGTCAGTTGTAGTTATTTTTTTGTCAGTTGTAGTTATCAGTTGAGCCTGTTTAGTTTCTTAATCAAATGAATCAAATAAAATACCCTGTTTTATGGTTGTTTTTTTTTAGTTCGAAATTTAACTTTAAAATGCACCATAAAAACTGGTTAAGTTTCAAGCGATTTTTGTCATCATCATTTTGGGCCCAATATAACCGAGTTTGAGAAAAACTTGAAAACATGTTTAAAAATTCAGTTTTAATTCAATTTATCCGGTTGTACTAATTCAGCACTATAGAAGCTTGTTCAGCTCAATTTGCATTGAAATTTCATTAATTCGCCCAAAAAAATGCGTGAAGAGATGAAATGCAACTCATTAAATTATAACCTCAGACCTTGGAAAATTTTTGCTTACTACTGCGAAAAGAATCACTTCAATAACCCAAACATTTGTGAAATGAGAGAGGGTTTGTAAAAACAAGTTTTGAAAACACCCTGAATAGCTTTCCGGGATTCAGTTCAGAACGATTTTCACTGGGGCTTTAAAAACCCTGCTTAAGTCATTGAAATTTACGCGTTGAGCGTCACAGATAAAAAGAAGTTGAAAATGCGCATTGTCTAACGATTTGCGCGCTTAACTGTTTGCACACGATGGGCAAAATTGGTCTAGATAAAAAAGTTAACTAGAGCAAACGTATTGTTATTGGTTATCAACTTCATTAATCTGAACAAAAAACTGGATGAGTTACATGTGAAATTGATTATGTTTTCCCGCAAATTGAAGAGAGTAGCTTGTCTCAGAACACGGGGTTTTTCGCCGAACTTCTAAAGCAATTACAGTTATAATCGGTAATCGGTGTTGTAATTGCTTCAATTAGATAAGTTGACTTGATAAAAATAGTTTTTTTTTCTTCATCCTAAGAAAACGAAGATAATCTGAGCTTGGCGTGGTTTCTTTCCCGCATCAGTTTTTGAAGGAAAGTTATAGTGATTAAATTAGTTCACAATTTGATTTCAGTTTCACTCTAGTTGTTGCAATCTAGTTAACCTATCTGTCTGGCGCTAACTGGTAATTAACCTTCGGAGGTGTCTGTCACCTTTGGATGACCGCTATTTCATTATCTCCGACTAACTTTCTATATTGCAGTCCTTAACTTTAGCGTACAATAACTACCTATCGAAATCTTCTTTTCACATGGCGCAATAAATAGGTCAGAGTGGGGAGAACCCACTGGGAATTACGTTGTTTTGGCCCACTAAGTTAGCCGACCCTTCAATGCTATGGGAGTTTTGGTTCATTCGGTTTCAATGGGGAATGGTGGCCAAACCCGACATCAATCCGAAAAACTTTTACTACGCCAGCACGCTATCAACAGCTCAAATTACGGCACTACCGGAGGAGGTAGATGGAAAAAATCGGCTGGCGGCCGAGCAATTTTTGATATCGAACTTGTACCGATGCCCTAGAAACTGAGTTCAAGAAAGAACGAAATGAGACCTACGAGACCTTTCAGCTATTGGCAAGGAAGCTACATATTGGAGAATCATTGGAGCAGTTCCATTCGGTTTTGAGTGGACCAGCAGCACGGTGCAATTTCGGATAATTGGAGACTAGAATTTTAAGAGACGTGTTTATTGTAAACATGAACAATAGAGAGGCACAAAACGAACTATGTCGATCAACAAAAACACCACAGGAGATGTATCGCATAGCACTATCATACGGGCGTGGAGACAAGTACGCAAAGACGTATGTGTCAGAAACCGGGGGAGCAACGACCAGCGGCACCACCGGTGGAGCGTTCCAAATCAAAACGGAACCGGTGGGGACAATCCGAGGCGGATATCGGAATAGCAGGCAGCACGGACGCGGATCGTTCAATGGACAAGCAGACCTGAGAGGGGGAGCATCTAAGAGGTGCTATAACTGCGACCAACCCAACTTTAACACAGAATATCTGTCCAGATGCCCGGCTAGGAGTGTGACTTGTAATTTTTGCCGAAAGACCGGACACTATAAAATATACCTGTCGGGGAAGCATACTAACCGCGGAAGATCTGCGGTGGGATTGATCCAGAACCAGGAGGAGGTGGACGTTAGCGAAATCGGAGACTCTGAGGATGATTTTTCGCAGCACGAAAATTCAGTTGGATGGGTCAACACGCGGAAGAAAAGGCAACGCTCGTGGGATTCGGACAGGTCAGGAGATTTTGTTGTTATGGTCATAAAATCTAGAAAGGAAACCAAGTTGA